GAGTGGATTGAGTCCAGAGATGTATTGAATTAATTTGAATTTATTTCGCCATTCAGTCAGAGGTTGTAAGACATATGCGGCGGATGTGAAGGATAGGACACATAAAAAGATCACATAATCGGTTCCACTGATAATCCAAAAAACCATTTCTTGTCTTTTAATGTAACGATTTACTTCACTATAACTCCAGTTTATGTTAAATGGCTTATTAGTGACACTTATCTTGTAGTCCTTGTCTGGTGTTAATTGTTTGAGTAATCCGTTTGTCATTAGATTCACAGAAATAGGTAGTGAATGGTATGCAATATAATTGTGCCAAACGGTGTAATTAATTGTCTTATTATCGGTGGTATCAGTCGTAACACCGATTAATAAGTTATGAAAATAATTGATTAAACTTTCGGATGAATAGTTTACGAGTGATTGTTGAATGTCTTTGTGTCCATCACTTCCCAGATCTATGTTTTTCATATCATTATTATCCAACACTTGAGAATAGCTTTTAGAAAATCCAGTATTATTTGTGATTACAAAACCTTTCATACCCTTCCCATATATGATATCACTGTTTATATCAACTGATATTTTATGGCTAAAGTAGTATATAATCATAAAAAGTCCATTAATTGTAATGAAAAGGCTTATAACGGAAATGACTGGAATTATAATTAAAGTGAATAATTGCGTGAAATTCATAGATATATAATGCAATCGTTTTATGAATATTCCGTAGATTTGGCTTAAAATGAGTGCAGATCTTGATATTTGTTGAGTTGTCTCACAAATAAAGTTCTCATTCAATAGTTTTTCATTATTTTGAATGCTTTCAAAGTTATTCAACAATTTTTTATCATCTTTTTCATTACTTTTTGCAATGATCTTAGCGTACGAGCCCTCAAGGGTTTTCATCCCTAACGACATGTCAGTAATGGCTAACGAAAGTGTCTTTTCCTCCAATTCTTCAAACATTTCGCTAAACCTATGGCTGTCCTCAAAGTCCAGTTCATACACCAGTTCCTCGTTATCTCTCAATTCATTTCTCACAAAACTTTTGATTTTCACGTATTTCTCGATAATATCTTTGATTCGACTCTCGGTTTGCAATTCAATACTTTTACAGACTTTCAACTGATATCCAGAATTGAATTCCTTTTTCATCTCAAGTGTCGTCCCTTTGAAACATACCCTTCCCCTCGATATGACACATATCTTGTCTGACAGAAGATTCGCTTCTTCGAAGTCATGCGAAGTAATTATAATTGTCTTCCGTTTACCCGACCCTTGGATCAGATCCCAGACTTTCCTCTTCACTCTGGGATCCAACGCAGCGGTCGGTTCGTCTAATATGTGGACTTTGTTTGGTCCGATTAGGGCTAACCCTAACACCAGTCGCCTCAGTGTTCCGCCCGACAGTTGATACGCCTCTTTGTCTACATCTTCCTCGAGATCTAACCTACGGATCAGTTCATCACTACTATAGCCATCACTGGTCTGTCGTATAGTTTGTTTCAATTGCGAGAAAATCATGAAATGGTCTCTAATTGTCAAGTATTTGAAGTAAACGTTAATTTGCGGACAAATTCCGCACTCATTTCGAGCCAATTGTGACTCTCGNCTACGGATCAGTTCATCACTACTATAGCCATCACTGGTCTGTCGTATAGTTTGTTTCAATTGCGAGAAAATCATGAAATGGTCTCTAATTGTCAAGTATTTGAAGTAAACGTTAATTTGCGGACAAATTCCGCACTCATTTCGAGCCAATTGTGACTCTCGTGTGATATCGTGTCCACCGATAGACACCTTTCCCTCGAAACCGATTAAACCTTTATATAAAATAATATATTACTATTAAAATAGATTTTTACAAAATATTCTTAGCAATTATCTATTAGTTATTTAACTTTCATTACCTGTAATAACATTAATAAGAGTTGTTTTTCCGGAACCGTTTGGACCCAGAATTACAGCAATAGAGTTGCGGTCGACGTCTAAATCAATACCTTTCAGAATATTCTCGCTTTTTATGCCAAACATTGAATAATATTTTTTGTGCAAATCCTTTATGTGAATCGTTGGTGGCATTTGGTTGTCATACATGGGCTCATAGTCTTCATCGAAATATTTATTTTTATTATAAGCTTTGATTTTATTATAAATCCATTGAATGGGGAAATAAAAGGGTTTATTAATTGTGTGTTTGAATGGTATGACTGACGATAAGTACCAAATTAATAGTCCGTATAATATATAAGAGATAATTATTATTAAAAATATGTGGCTTATAGTCATCTGATCGTATATATATCCAGGTGCAAAAATATTAGACCAATTGGCCCCGGAATTTGCATTCATATTCAATCCCATAGATATATGAATGAACCAAAATAGGGCACAATTAGGCAGAAAACATGACACAGTTTCCAAACCCATAAATACTAACACCGGGGTTTTATTGCCTCTCATTATAAATAAATAGCTGATAAGTATGGCGAATGAGACAATCCATGTAATAATGGTTACAATGACTGCTATATTAGGGCTCCGGAAGAATACGGATATAAATCCCGCGAATAGTATGCATTGAATGAGAAATAATAGCAAAAACACTGAGAATAATGTGAATGAGATTCCGGGTAGAAGTCCATAGAAATAGAATATTAATGTGATTATGAGGTGTTGGACACCGATAACGGACAGGGAGTCTATGATAATAGTGATCCAGTGGTGGACTCTGGAGATTCCCAACTGAAACAAGTAGTCCGTAATCCGGGTCTGTCTGTCCTCCACAATACGTTTGACAGTCACCGGTAGCATAACTAACAGCGCGAATAGTATGATAGCTATTTCGAAATAATATTGATCGTCCCTAAAATGCAGTGTATTTTCATTGATATAGTTCACGGGTAATGGCATTATCTGACGATAAACATCGATATTATCGACACTCGTGTTACTAACGAGTGAAATGTGCGCCAAATCTATAGCCACTTGTATTTCGCAAAAACACGACTCAATGTACCCGTTGTGCGGATTGCGGTGATTATTATGTCTCAAAAATAATAGCTCTTGGGGTTGGATTAAGCGGTGATCATAATCCTTGCCGTTATTATAATCAGCGTTTTTGATGCTCAATGAGTAGTGTAGGTGCTCTGGTGGTTGGGCCCCATTAGCATCTACCTGTCCCCGGTGCCAATCAGCACCGAAATCAATGGCTATAATACCCCGTATTTTTCGTTTTTCTTCGAGTACTTGACGACTAATATAGGAATTGATGTTTTGCTCGCTATTTACAGCAATTGCACGAATTGTGGTCCTGGTAACAAATTAACGTATTTTTTGCGAAATTTCATATATAAATTATATAATATAATATTAACTGTAAGTCTACACGACTACATACTATGTTGCTATCAAATACAGCTATAGACAGGCATAACTAGGACAGGTTTTTGCTAGATTACTTCAAAACCGCAAATTCTATCTTGGTTCTGACTTCAGGATCTTATTCTCAGATAAATTATGCGTAATTTGGTATATATAATAATATTTCTATCTTACCCTGTTATTTAGATATTTAAAGTTAAAGTTTTAAGTGGAAAATTTTTGATTTTCTCATAGAAAATATATGGCAATTTTTCAACCAATGCTTCTAACTCAGCTTATATGAAAACAACTGTATCTTGGTTATTTTATAACCGATTTTTAATATTGAAACATCAATTTGCGTTAAGTAAAAATGCGAATTTAATG